AGATTTGGCCATAGGCCATAGTTTGCTGACCCCTGGACTATAGAATTGTCTGTTCTGTGAGGTAGTGAGTTCCTATTCAATGGAAGCAATCAAGTCATGGTTGGAGGAATTCCTGGCAGGGAAACCATAGATGGGACTTAAGCTTCCAATGAGTAACTGGACTAGAAAGCCTCTATGTCCTTCCACAAACTCGGCACGCCTTAGTTCTTATTCATTCCAGCTCCTGGGCACATTTCGTCATCTGTCAAATGATCTCTGAGGTCCCCATAGCTCTGAAATTATTCCTGTGTTCTGTTCTGCTTTAGTTCATTGTGAAGCTCTGCGTGTGTCAGCACAGCCTTCATTTCAACGCTAAGTGCTATGATTTAGGTGTCTGTGAGTTTAACAGACAAAGACCAAAGACGGCTCCTGAATTCTGTATGGAGATAATTTCTGAAGCAGGAACAGCTGGAAACCGTGAAAATCAAAATGCTCTGAATTCCCCTTTGGCCAAGGAGATCTGACAGCTAGATACGAATGGCAAAATTACATCTTTCCATGTAGACACAAACAGGACTGATTTATGATGATGCAGAGTAGGCCCATCCTGGGAAGATAAAAATGGAAGCTTTCCCTCTTATCCCAAATTCTCTATATCAGCCTTGCAGGGCAATTTCAAAATGGGCCTAATTCTACTCAATTGTTAGCAAACAGCCGATGAGCACTGACCACGTGCATAGATAAGAGTTAACACTGCGGGTCCTAGAACAACATGGTGTAGATTCGAAGCCAGCACTTGCCTCTTATCTGTGTGATCTGGGGAAACTGCTTGATCAGTCTGTACTTTGGATTTTTCATCTATAAAAATGGGAATAAAATTAGTTTGGGATGGAAAGTTTTCTCAGCTGTTCTGTAACTCATCTTATATCATCTGGGACAGGGAGAGAGGGAAAAAAATGACCTGGTTCATCCTGCTTGTAAACTAGCTAATCCAACCTCATACTGGTATTTATTAGCAGATAGATAAGAGAGAGTCCTTATGTATAAAACGTTTTTAGTGGGCTATCCCTGGTCTATTTAGATTGGAAGGTATAGCTCTGGGGATAGCCTGTTGGAAAATATCCGTGTCAGCTTTGTAGTTATCAAAGTATAAAATGGAGACATTTCATGAATAAAATAGTTCCTGTATATAAGTGGTTTTTTTTAGAGACCTCCTAAGTTCCATCTACCCCAGACTGCACCCCTAACATGGTAAGGGAGACTCTGGGGAGCTGTGTTGATGGCTTCAGACTTTACCTGCATCTTGAGATGACTGGTATCCTGTAAATTACTAGTAAACTTTGATTGAGTAAAACCTCTGATTATTGTGATTTCATTTTGCCAATCTGACTCTGTGTTATCTTATATTCACACAGTATTTTTACGAGAATTAAAGCACTTGGAACAGAACCTGACACACAGCAGGTGCTCAGTAAATGCTAGTATTATCAGAGGACTGGTGTGAGGACCAGATTAGGGGCAGAGGGAACATGCTGTGAAAAGCTCAGTGCAGGGCATGGATGTGAACTCTCATCCTTTGCAATAGGGGGAAAAGAGCACAGGTTTTTAAAGATCTGGGTTCAAATCTTGACTCCAACACTTACTAGCTGTGTCATGATAGGGGACCTCAGAATGTCTCTGGGCTTCAGTTCCCTCACTTGTCAATGGCAGCAGTTACTCCTAACTTCAAAACTATCGTGCAGAGTAGGGGTGATGTGTAAGGCACCCAGCACAGCGTTTACATTAAAGTAGATGATCAGGAAGGTTAATGCCCGAGGCCATTATGAATGTGGCAAGGACAAGGCAAAGAGCAGGATGATGCCAGGGAAGACCAAAGCCACAGCCTCTGGCATTAACCAAATCACTTTTGTGGTGCCATCCCTTGTCTCCCTCTTAGAAGAGCTCTAGCCGTGACAGTGCCTGTCCTAGCCCCTTCTATCTGAGTTCTCTGGTCATAATTAACTCATCCACAAGTTCTTGCCGAGAACCTTGTAGGTCTCAGGCCAGTGCTGGGCACTTTGGGGGAAGCTGGTGTTTCAAGCACAGACTCTACTCACAGCAGAGATGGCTAGTTATGCTCTACCTTCCACAGTATAGAGCTGGTGCTGGTCAGTGGCTGCTCCCCAGGACCTCTTGTTCCCCAGCCCTCCTTGCATCGAGGTCTGCCCGTGTGACTTGTTCTCGCCATTGGAACATGAGTGGAAGGGAGGGTGTTGTTACTCTGGGTCAAGGCTCTTAAGAAGCGTCCTCCATGCTCGTTGTCTCCTCCTGCCTATTGCAGTGGACACTGAGGCCCCAGGGGCTGGTGGAGCCACAACACAGACGGAGCCTGGGTCTAAGCCGCCACCTACCAGGGACACCAGCCACAGATGGGTACACGAGTGAGCAGGTAGTTTCTACTGTGGTAAGCCACTGTCATTGGCGATGTATTTGCTAGGCAGCTAGCATTGCACTGACTAATACACTGCTGTTAACATGACTCAGAATTCCAACTGCATACATGAGACATTCAAAGCACATTGCTCAGGACTGTGTTATGAAGGATCATCTGTCTTGGTCAGTGGCCTTGGGACTGTTTTTTAAGTTAGTAAGGTTGGGTTAGAAGCTCTGAGACCACTTTGTTTTGGTGAGCAATTAAGGAACCATTAGGCCCTATAGTAAGTGCTCAGTATAGCTGTTGAATGGATGAACGAGTGGCTGAATATGTATGATGACAAATACACACTCTTCAACTTTGACTTTGAGGTTGTAAAAATCTGGTTCTATTTTATCTTTCCCCCACCCCCAGCTCAGCACAGAGCAGGTGCTCAATAATTGCTTGAGAAATTGATTTGCATAGAATCAAACCTTACTCTTGTTCTTTCTCTAATAAAGAATTTGGTATTAGCTTAACTAATCCCTTTATTGCGTGCCATTGGCTAAGGCCACCTCCACATTTTTGCTGACACCCTGAAACCCAGCTGCTTCTTCCCTGGGAGCTTCAGGAATACGCAGAACCAGGGGCCTTTTGTCTCCACTTTCTCTCTCCCCTAAGGCTTCATTTTGAGAACCCCTGCTGCCAGCTCCGGCTCCACTCTTATACCCACTCACAAAAGCACACATCTTCCCCGCTCAGCTCTTTCCTCAGTTATTTCATTCCTTCTTTAACAAACTTTTCGGGAGCACTTCATGTCCTCTGCATAGTTCTAGGTTCTCAACGAACCACAAACAAGGTCCATCATACATATCCGGCCCTCCACTTACTTTTGTGAATAAAGTTTTACTGGAACACAGCCATATCGTCCGTTCATTTACACATTGTATCTGGCTGCGTTTGCACTAACATTGCAGAGCTGCACAGTTATGACAGAAGCTGTCTGACCCACAAAAATATTTACTGTCTGGCCCTTTATAGAAAAAGTTTGCTGATCCCTGCATTAAAGAAATGAGTATGTAGGAAACCGATGAGCCAGTGAGAGGTGCTATGAAGGAAGTAAACCAGGATGATGTGAGAGAGAGTATGTGTGTGTGACTGGTGTGTGTGTGTGCATGTGTGCATGTGTGTGTGCTGATTTTAGATTAAGTGGTCAGGGGAGGCCACATTGGGCCTGTGAGATATCTCAGGTGAGATTTCCACAGCAGCCTAGAAGCCCCACAAGGGCAGAGACTGCTTGTCTCTGGGTTTGCTCCCCAGTGTTCCCAGGCCTAGCACAGGGCCACTGGCCTCACACCTCCAGGGGCACTGATGTGAATGGTGCCTGTGGAGTGGCTGATCCGGGGCCCCTGTAGGACTAAACACATTTACTCCTTGAATCTACTTACACTGTATATGTTCTCCTGTCACTTTGCCACCCCCCCCGGAAGAAGCCTTCTTCTTCCTCCAGCCATCTGACCATCATCAAGCACCGTGTGGGTGTGCGTGCACACGTGTGTGTGCCTGACACCCTCCACTGATTATTCCAAGGCCCCCTCCATCATCTCATTAACATCCTGATCTCCCAGATGGGGACAAAATGCTCTTCATTTTTCACAAACGTAATAGGCCATGGAACATGATGACCCTATGAAAATCAGCAACGCAAAGGGAGAAACAGAAGTTCGGGTCTATTTTTTCTGATGGAAACTTAGTGTTGTTTCCATCAACACAGAAACCAAATCAAAGAGGAAGCACAGGAACACCTCCCGGAGAGACTGTAGAACTGTGGGGCCTGCCCTGGACCACATTCTCCGTCCACCGTGGCCTCTGATGAGCGCCACTGAGGGCACAGACACAGAGCCAGGGGATGGCAGGGCCCTCAGTCTCATCCACCCTGCCATTTTACAGATGGAGAAACTGAGGCCCAAGGAGAGGAGAGGACTTTCCCACCGACCATGGCCAGGAAATGGCAGAGCTGGGGCTGCTAGTCCTGGGTAAACTGAGGCTCAGAACACTCCAGACTCCACACTCGTGCAGCTAGGCTGTAAGGTGGTGTTTAGGCCTGGGAGTCAGGTGGCTCCATCACTGCTTGCTCTAGGCAAGTCACTTCCCATCTCCACCTTCTCTAGAGCTGTCCCGAGCCCTGAACGAGCTAGTGCACATCAAGTGCTCAGCTGAGCATAGTGCATAGGCAGTGATCACTAAGTCTCAGACACTAAATTATCATTAGTGTTGTATCCTCCACACTACACGGTGACTTCTCTATGGGCACAGACTGTAGCATGATTATCTTCGATTCATCCCAAACTACTGTAGCTGGCCCATAGCTTTCACAACAGTTAATTGTTGCTGTGTTGTTGTTATTATTAATGCATCTTTGTGTGTGCACGTTGCCCACCATCTGTAGGATGGACATGAAGGCAGCCAGTGCATTTAAATGAGTGTGGAACTCTCTCTTCCCCTCCATTCCCAGTCGGGCCTTGTCCCTCCCTGGGCCCCGAGCTCCCCATCTGTACAACGAGAACCCCTCCCCTTGGTGGTGCCGTGAGCCCAGGGGCCAGCCAGTGTGGAAGGAGGGGCACCTTACCGGGACCACTGCAGAAGGAGGCGATGATGGCCAGAATGCACACGATACTCAGGTAAGGGATCCAGCGGGCGTGGTCCTGTGAAAGGGCAGCGGCATGGGCAGGTGAGGAGGCGGCGGTGTCGAGGACCTGCCTCCCCACCCCAGCTCCTCCTCCTTCCGCCTGTGTGACCTTGCACAGGCCACTTTACATGTCTGAGCAGCAGTTTCAGTGTCCATCAAATGGGGATAATGATAACCCCTAAGCCATTCCAATCGGCTGTTTCACAGATGTGAAGGTGAAATGAGATGATGGTCCCTGGCATACAGTAAGTGGTAAGTGAATGAATAACTAACACTGATTGAGTGCTTAGTCTGAAGCAGGCAATACGAGAAGTTTTTATAGGCATTATCGCATTTAAAAAACTTTCTCTTAGTTATTGCTATTTTTATGTAAAACACCATACTTCTACCCCTGCCATCCAGACAAGGTACGAGATGAGTTCACTCATGTCATTAAATAGGTTTGGAGGGGCTGTCACTTATCTGGCGGGGGTGGTTGGGGTGGCTTGGTGCTGGGTATGCAAAGAAGTTTAGGGAATCGCTCCCGCTCTAGCAGACTGGGTGGTTGATAATTAGAATATGGTGTCACTAGCTATGGGACATGGTGAGCACGTGTGGAGGTTCCAGGGCCCCAGTCTAGAGAGATTCAGGGAGGGGAGGAGCCTGTGCTCACCTTTGAAGGCTGAGCTGGAGTCAGCGGAGAAAAAAAGGAAAGGAAAGGAGCTCCAGGAGAGCATTCTGTATGGGCAGGCGCACAGGAGCACGGCCAGGGGTGAGCCGCAAACACTCAGAGCAGAGGGCGAGCGGGAGGGGCAGGAGAGAGCAGCCCTTCTGTGTCCAAGTCCCTCAGCTCTTGCTGCGGGAGGGTCTAGGGCTGACAGGAGAGTCGCAGGCTCTTGTACTCTGCATGGCTCACTGCTGCACTAAGTCATCCATCCATCCATCCATCCATCCATTCGTTCACTTGGCAGATAGTTCTGAGTTCCTGCTGGGTGCCATGCATTGGGCTGGGAGGTGGGAATGCAGAAATGATACAGGCATGGCCCTTGCCCCCACAACTCACTGTCTATCAGGAGAGCTGAGTCAAGTGAAAGCCAATGCTGAACGATAAGCGATATTGCAGGGTTGCCCCGGGGTCCCTGGCAACACAGAGGAGGGCGCCTCACTCAGATGTGAAGGTAAGGGAAGGCTTCCTGAAGGAAGAGGTATCCAAGAGGTATCCAAGAGGTATCCAGGGCTTGCTGAGTCCAGAAAGCAAGAGAAGCCAGTTGAGCAAAGGAGGGCCCTAGGAAGAGGAAAGGGCCAGGCTTGGGAGCAGGGCTCAGGGAGGAGGACTTGGGGAGATGAGGGCAGCAGAGCAGGGAAGAGTCTAAAACCTTGGGCAGTGAGCCCTGGAGGGGGTCCCATGCTCCAGGCAGCCCCTCTGAACATCTCACACAAGTTGCAAAAAGACGACGCCCCAGAACAGTTGGCCTCCTCGGAACCTCTGAGGACCCAGCTCGGTCGGGCCAAGGAGCCTGCAAGGGCACCCGGCCCAGGACAACCCTGGCCTGGCAACTGGGAAGGAAAGTCTCTGCCAGCACATTGCCCCCGAGGGAGAGGTTTCCGCCTCCTGCCCATTCAGCGCGCCCGCAGCACCTCCTTTCTGAAGGACAAGCTACTGTCCATCAGCCACCACCAGCTAACATCGCCTTCTCTGGAGATGTTTGGCACATTAAGACTTTAGCAGATGATGAACACGGGCCCTTTCCAATAGGGATTCATTTTTGAAAAATGCAAAGATTTACTGACCACTGCGACCTTGCCTCACGCTTCCCTTAGTGCTGAGAGGGGATCGAGACACTGAGTACGTGCTCAATTACTGCAGGTTGCCCTGAACAGCACAGGCGGGCAGAAGGGAACCCCAGGATCCTGGGATCTGATCCCTGCTCTGCCATTTACCAGCTGTGCAGCCTTGGGCAGCTTATTCATTATATTCATGCCTCAGTTTCCCCATCTCCATAAAAGGAAAAATACCACTTTGATAAGGATTAGGTACAGCACTCTCTGTCCCCCAAACACACACCAAGCGCTTGTTACGTTCCAGGCACTATTCCAAGTACTTGAAGTGCATTTTCTCATTTAGTCCTCACAATACCCCTGGACCTAGGGACGACTGTCCCATTTTAGAGATGGGGTCCTGAGGAGCAGAGAGGTTAAGTGACTTGCCAAAAGTTTTGTGGTGAGTACGTGGGAGAGCGAGGATTCACACCCAGGCGGTCTGGCTCCAGAGCCCCTACTGGTCCCACCAGCCAATGATGTAACAATTGTGAAAGTGCCTCACATGGGAGTGCCAGGCCCTCCATGTGGGAATGTGACAGCTGGAAGAGGCATCTTTGGAGTTGCCTAGTGCCATCTCCTCTATTCCACAGATGGGTAAACTGAGGCTCAGAGAGGGGACGAATCTTGCCCAGGATCACACAGCTCCTTAGTGGCAGCGACAGGACCAGAAGTCAGGTCTCTCGTCTCCCAGTCCAAGGACCCGTTACTGAACCCTCCTCCTCGAGGGTGCCCGGCATCTTCAGCACTGAGATGCCCCTTGGGAGCACCACATTGCAAGAGCTGTCTGTAGACAGTGTGAACCTCCCAAGCCAGAGGTCCCGAGCACTGAAGCCAGAAGCCAGCTCCATGCTAACCTCCCCCAGGGTCGACAGGCACATCCTCTCACCTGCAGCGTCAGCGTGATGGTGAGGATCCCAAAGAAGAGGGTCATTAGCCCAAAGCCGCCAATGAGGAGGGGTTTCCGTCCCAGGCGCTCGATGACCAAGCCCTAGGTCAGGGTCAAAGAGAGACAGTTATTACTCCACTTCCAGCAGCAAGGAAAGGAAACTCGGTGCTGGGAACCGGAACTGGGGTCGTGGCTAAAGGCTAGCTTTGACCTGAAGACACCTGGCCACATTCTCCACGGCCACAACCAGAGAGGTAGTGATCTTTATGAGAAAGGAAGAAAGGGAGGGAGAAGAAAGTCACAATTCTTGAGCACCTCCTGTGTGTCGACACATTCACCCTTCCTGCTAACCTTCCTCGTTAGGGGGTTAGGGGAGGGTGGGCTTATCTGCTAGGGAGTCTGGAAAAGGAACCGAATAGACATGGTTGTCACAGCCTCCCCGGACCCCTGCTTTGGAGCCAGCTTACCATGGAAGGCAAGCGCTCTCCATTCCTTTGTGCTCACAGGTCATAGGTTTTATAGGGGCAGACTCCCAGGTGGGGGCACAGAGGTGGGAGTGGGCAGAGAAGGTTAGGTTGTTTCCCACTCTGCCTGGGCCTGGACGCATCAGTTTCATTCTGGGGTGTGATACCAGGAAGCCCAGGTCACTGCAGCCCCTGAAGCCGTGTCCCTTTACTGAGATTGACTATCTCAGTGTGACTCTCTGGTCTGGGCCCAGGCCTAGGTACACGAAACACTCTTCCTAAGCAGGATGTTCCAAGGATTCAGAGATTATCTCCCAGGAACCTGTCGAGGGGCAAGTCTTTTCTTTGGAACGTGCAGAATTGAACACCCTGAGTCAGCTGAGTTAACTCTTCACTACACATGGGGATAATAACTTTTACTTTGTAACAGCCAGATATTTGTATTCTAACACATAACAGGCAATGAATATAAGGAAACCTGTATTATTTCCTGAATAAAAAATACCTATGTCCAAGCCTTTCCTATACGATTCCACAGCTTCATACATTCTTCCTTTCCTTAGGCAAATCCAGGTCTTTCCCACTCCTTCCCATTGGTAAATGTTCTGTTTAAAGCCCCTCCTCCAAGGAGCCTTCCCTAATGACCAATCCCACAGTAATCTTCTTTCTCACTTGTTCTGGCAGACACTTGCAAGCTATCTCTCATGGTTACTTTTTTCCTTAAAGAAAGATGGTATTATTTTTGTAAAAATAATATATGCTCATTGTGAATTCAAGCAATGCAGAAAAGCACAAGGAAACAAAATATCTGAGATTGACTGTTGCATTGTTACACTGAGATTAATATGTACTTGTTACTGACTTCGGTGTTTTGAGATTTTTTCGTTTTTTTTGTTTTTTGTTTGTTTTAGTTTCTTCAAAGGCACCCCAACAATGTCAGAGTCAGAAAGTGTGCCTCAAACCCAAACCAACGGAGGACCACTGTCTTACACCATGATGCCCACGTTCAAGTGCTTTCAGGAGTCTGGCTGTTTCATTTCCCTAAAGTCTCCGATTGAACCAGTAACCTGAGCCAACATAAAGCTGAACACATTCTCCCTGATTTGGAAACTGTCTCTAAGGCTGGTCTAACACCTGGAAGACACCAAGGAAATAGCTGTGAAAGAGAAAGAAGAGAGAAAAGCCAGCCTCTCCATCCTAGTGGGAAGCAGCATCAATCTATAGGGCTCCTTTCTTCCTCCTTCCTCCGTTAAGTCCCATTAAAGTGCAGCCTGTCGAAAGGGATTAGAATAAACACGGTATTTCCACTCAACATTAAATCAGTAGTGAGGACATTAACTCAAGAGAGACAGCAGCCTCTGAAGGTTACTGACATCAGCTGGGACGAACTGTCAGCCTCCTCATGCTCCCAGGAAAGCCGCCTGGGGACTCTGAGCCACAGGGTCATCCATCCATTCAGCAGCCATTTACCCAGCACCTACTGCCCAGCACACAGTGCTAGGAGCTCTGCTGGAATAATAATGGTAAAAAATATTTTTTGGTTAGGATTTAAAAATCAACTTTATTGATGTAGTTATATTCAACAAAATGTACCCATTTAATTGTACAGTTTAATATGTTTTGACAAATTTATACACCCATAAAACCATGACGCCATCAACATATAGAACATTTCTATCACTCCAAAGTTCCCTTGAGCCCCTTTCCCCAGCCCCAAGCAACCACTGACATGCTTTGCATCACCATAGGTTAGATTTGTTTAGATTAGAGTTCCATATTGGAGATCACTATGCTTTTGAGATTCATCCCTGTTGTGGACATCAATAGTTCGTGCCTTTTTAGTGCTCAGTAGTATTCCATTGAATGGATATACCATAATTTGTTTCTCCATTCACCAGCTGATGGACATTTGGGCTGTTTCCAGTTTGGGCTTTTATGAATAAAGCTGTTATGAACATCGGTGTTCATGTCTCTGTGTAGATATGTGCTTTGATTTCTCTTGGGTAAATACTTATGAGAAGAATGGCTGGGTCATACAAGTAAAGATTTTATAAGAAACTGTCAAACTGTTTTCCAAAGAGTTGTACCATGTTAAATTCCCACCAGCAGTGCATGAAAGTTCCAATTGCTCCATATCTTCATCAACACTTGGTGTTATCAGTCATTTTAATGTTAGTCATTCTTATGGTGAATAGTAGTATCTCTTTGTGGCTTTTAGTCTTAATTTCCCTGATGACTAATGGTGTGGAACATCTTCCCATTTGTTTATTGACTTTTTTGATATCTTCTTTCGGAAAGGTTCTGTTCAAGGCTTTTTCTCATTTTCAAGTGGGTTGTTGGTCTTCTTCTTATTGAGTTCTAAACGTTCTTTGCATATTCTGGATTTAAGTCCCCTGTGGGATGTGTACTATGTGAATATTTCCCAGTCTGTGGCTTGCTTTTCCATTTCCTTAATGATGTCTTCTAAATAGTCATAGATTTTAATTTTGATGAAATCCAACTGATCAATTAAAAAAAATGGTTCATGATTTTGTATCCCATTTAAGAAATCTTTGTTTACCCCAAGGTTGCAAAGGCTTCCTCCTAAATTCCCTTCTAGAAGTTTTTATAATTTTAGCTTTGGTGTTTCAATCAGTGGTCCCTTTGAGTTAATTTTTGTGTACAGCACGAGATAGAGTTGTATTTCATTTTTCCTATGTGAATATCTAGTTTTATGGCACTATTTGTTGTAAAGACTACCTTTCTCCATTCAATTACTTTGGCGGCTTTTGTCTTTCTGGACTCTATTCTGTTTCATTAATCTGTATGGCTATTCTTATGCCAAAATCACGCTGTCTTGAGTACTGTGTAGTGAACATTGTCACAGCACTTACTATGGACCAGGCATGGTTCTAGATGCTTTACCTATAGTCATAATTTAATCCTCATAACATTTCCATGGGGTAATGTTATTATAGTCCCTTGTTATATCCAGAAATTGAGGCTCAGAGAGGGTTAGCAGCCTGCCCAAGGTCACACAGTGGCAGAACCAGCATTCAAGCCCAGGCAGGGTCTGGTTCCAGAGTCTTGCTCTTACTCCCTGTGCTCTGCTGCCTCTCCTCACTGTCAGCGAGACAAGTGTACACATAGATTTATCAAAAGAAAATACATGCTTTCCCAGGGCTTTCCTTCCTTCTTTTGTGTGAGGCCCTGGCACTGGGGCACAGGGAAGAAAGAGACAGAGTCCTTGCCCTTGGGGAGTGTTATGGGCTGAACTGTGTCCTCCCCAAAAAGATATGTTGAAGTCCTAATCCCCTGTACCTCAGAATGTGACTTTATTTGGCAATAGGGTCTTTATAGAGGTAATCGAGTTCAAATGAGGTCATTAGGGTAGGCCTTAATCCAACATGACTGGTGTCCTTATAAAAAGGGAAAATTTGGACACAGGCATGCCCACGGGGAGAAAGCCATGTGAAGATGGAGGCAGAGATCGGGAGGATGCTTCTACAAGCCAAGGACCACCAAAGATTGCCTACAAATCTCCATATGCTAAGGAAGAGGCCTGGCACAGATTCTCTGTCACAGCCTCAGAAGGTTTCTACCCTCAGACACCTTGATCCCAGACTGCTGACCTCCAGAATGGTGAGACAGTAAACTTCCATGGTTTAAGCCCCTCCATTTGTGGCACTTTCTTAGGCAGCCCTCCCAAACCAACACACAGAGCTCGTGTCTGACGGAGAGCAGGGCTTGGCACAGTCTGTGAAATGATTAATCATAGGAAGAAAGAAGGAAGGGATGCAGGGAAGGAAAAGATGGTCTAAAATTTCATTTATTTCAAATGTAACTCCATCAAAGCTCCCATATTTGACTTAATGTGCCTTTACAGCATTTTACATGTATTACTTTATGTGAATTTTATGGGCCAGTCTCTGTTGACATTGTGTTCAATGCTTATGTCCAATTATAAAGGGCACGAAGCACCCAGGGCTTGGCAGAATCCCTGACCTCTCAGGGACGCCAGAGCCCCTAAGAGTTCACTCCTCCACAAGACCATGGAGGACACCCTGTTCTTTCTGTCCTACTCCAGCCTGGGCCTTTTCTCATTCTGCTGGTTTCCAAGAACTTGCCTGGCTTGACTGGCTGCTCGTGAGCACATGGGCCATGCGGACTGACTGAGTGCAGGGCTCCAGAAGGAGGAAGTGCTGCTGGTGGGGGCTCAGCCTCCTTGGAACATCAGCTCTGACTCCCCCTGGGCAGAGGGTGTGGATCCCAACAGAGAGCTCTGTGTAGCTGGCAGATGCACTTTCCTCAGATGCCTTTAACTGAGTCTTACTCAATTAGCAACTACGTGCTGGGTGCTTGAGATGAGCCAGTGCCTGGCCGGGTGGAATGCATGAAGACCAGGGACTGCAGAGATACAGTATGACAACTTCCATCACCATTTCTTTAAACCTACTGTGTCACACACACACACACACACACACACACACACACACACACACACACACACACAATCTGAACACCGGAGCACACACACAATCTGAACACCGGAGCAAGATGCCGCCCAGATTGGGGCCAGCACCCGGGTATCCCAAATGGCTGCCCTTAATCTTGACACTTTGGGGATGGTGGGGTTCCTGAGGAGCCCTTGCCACACCA